AGACATCTAGCTTCACCAGAATGGGCCCGTCTAAGCCTTGCTGTTTCTCTCAGTAGCCCACTGAGAGAAAGTCTGGGATTCCCACTGCTTTTAGAGCCTCGGACTCCCACAGGAGAATGCTACCAGGGAATACTCACTGGCTACAAACCTGCAGATCAGTGAGCTTTCACAGAGTAAGTTATACCCTCCTCGTCTCTGTCCCTGGTGCTCAGGCAAGATGATACCTAAGCAAATGAGACCAATTTCTGCCTCTCATGGGCTCCACGTTGTTCACAGACACATTGTTTTCCTCATAAGAATCAGGACACCTGTGCTCTCTCTGTTTCACTGAGGCTGTCACTCAGTGCCACTCCAATGAGGAGTACCAGTGATCACCATTCTAATACAAACCAACAGGAAGACTATCATAATTCATAACATGGAATCAACCATATCCAAATAATATTAAAGCCAAGAGGGCCTGTGGATTGGTAAACCTTCCCTGGGTGTGCTGGGAGTTCTTGTCTGAGTTTGCACATGACTGACTGCCCAGCTCGAGGGATTTGCATTAGTAGATCTTGAGTAAAAATCCTATTAAAATGGCATTCCCTTGCTGTTAGCATCACTTTAGTGAGATGGTCTGGATTCTAGGGCATTTCCTGGGGCTGCCTGGTTAGATTTATAGACATGGGTGTTGGGAAGAGGGTTGGAAGCACCTCTGTGGTAGGGGTGAATGCTTCACTCATGACCATCCGTGCAGAGCTATGTAGGAAACATTCTGTACATCATACCCTAGCTTCAGTGCCAATGGGGAGTCAGTTGTCCAAACACACCTATTTGGAGTTGGGTCCTGGCATGGTTGCGGAGGTAGGCGCAGGGGAAATTAGTCCATGCTACTGGCCCCATGTATTGGTCTAGCCAAAGTTGCATTTTTGCTTGAATATTATGTGGTATATGTCATATCAGACTTTCCAAGTTTGCCGACCCATAACATCCATGGACTTGTATTGAATAATGTATTGGATACTTTGATTGTGGCCTGCTCTTCTGGGAGTGACATGACACAAAGAAATCTACTTGAACTTAATCCCTGCTCCACCATTTCTGAATTCTAACACTTGGGTCCTGTTCACTGGTTCACTGTCTGTCATAAATGCCTGGCTCTGCACGTGGACCTTTCATTTCGATGTTCCTTCCAGATGCATCCTTAGCCTCTTACTCACAACAGGCCCACATCAGGCAGCCCTGCCTCTTGTCCCCAGCAGGTGCCCTGCTCTCTGACCTGACTGAGACCGTCTTTTTGACCCATGATCATGGAAATTTCTAGACAGTTCTACTGACCTTGGGAATGAAGCACAGATTCTAACTCATAGAATAAGCTACTTAGAACAGAAACTAAAAAGCCCCAGCAGGCATTAGAACCATAAGAGGCTTTGAGAATTTCCAAGGTAGGCCAGGAGTTTAGTTGCACACAACATATTAGACCAGTGTTAATTCTTCTTGGCAAAGGGCAGCTATAGACTCACTGCTGGTTAATCCAACTGAATCTTTGAAATAAGCTAACAGGATACAAGATGGATACTGTTTAAGAACCGGAAAGGAATAGAAAATAGCTCAGTGAAACGAATCAAATGTTCAATTCATCACCAGAAGTGTTTAAAAAGATCTGGGTTTTTCTTCTCTCCATCCTTCTTTTTCTCCCCGCCCCCTCCACATCCTTTCACTGTTTCGCCGACATTTACTAGGCACCAATGAGGAGCTTAGGGCTACACTGTACACTGTAAAACTGAGGATGAGTAAGACAGCACCCTGCCCCCAGGAGCTCAGCACCAAGGGAGCAGGCAGAAGGGTTAACTGCTGTGATGGCAATGCAAAAAGAGTCACAAGGAGTCAGATGCTCGAGGGGACAGATGGCCCTCCAGATATGCCTGAGTGGTTCCTGGTATGTCCTGGGCATCAAGTAGTTTACATGCAAGAAACTTTAGGTAGGATTCTGAGATCACAGGGAGCTGAGCAAGGAGAAAGGTGGTTCTACAGGATGGCTTGTATACACCACTAGGTTGCCAGCATGGGTACTGTTAAGAGTTCTGTGCCCTCTGCACTACAGCTTCCTTCCTTTACCCGACAACCTTCCTCATGAGCTGATATTAAGGACTCCTTCAACTTTTGGAAGATTCATTTCTATAGTACAGAAATGCTACACCGAATTCTGTGCTTCCCAAACTCACCGTCTGAAATAGGGCAGGCAACCAATACGAAATATGTGGTGATACGTTGTTTGTGATCTAACCACTAAAGCTTGCCTGAAGTTCAGAGTGCAGAGCTAGTCACACTAGTTAGCAATAGATGCCAGGCAGTGGTGGTGCACACCTTTAACCCCAGCACTCAGGAGGCAGAGGCAGGAGGATCTCTGAGTTCAAGGCCACCCTGGACTACATGAGATCGATCTGGTCTGAAAAGAGAAACAGACCTAGGCAGTGGTGGCTCAGACCTTTAATCCCAGTGCTTGGGAGTCACACACCTTTACTCCAAGCACTAGGGAGGTGGAGACAGGAGTGAGATGGCTGGGAAGAGAGAGAGGAATATAAGGCGGGAAGGGACAGGAGCTCATGGAATTCAGTCTGAGGATTTGTCGGGACAGGATCACCCCTTTGGTCTGAGGAATCATTAGAGGTAAGAGGTCTCTCTTGTGGCTGGTTCCTTTACTTCTCTCTGGGTTTTTATTATTAAGATATATTGGAACTTGTGCTGCAAAATGAGGGAGTGAGAGTTGGGACTGCATGAGCAGGCTGGTTCCTTTTGAGAGGAGCAGATAAGATAGTGCCATCCTTGTCCCTCTGGGACTGGGAGCAAGCAGGGGAAGGGTGCCCTCTGCATGCAGGAAAACAGCTCTCATTAAGGCATGTATCAGTAGGCACCCTGACCTTGCATTTCCCAACCTTCTTGACCACGTGAAAGTAAACTTCCCTCCCTTAAGCCACATAGCCCGAGGTACTTGGTTAAGGTGGCCTGAGCAGACTTAGATGTAGACAAAGACAGAACTTGAGCCAAGTTTATAGGGTTCCATGATGGCTACAAATATTTTGCATAGTAGGTGTAATTCTTATCTATGAATTAATCGATTTTACATTTTAAATCAGCATGCTCACCACAGGAATAGCCTGAAAGAAAGGACAGGTGCTGGCCATGGCTTTCTGCCAGTCCTGGGTAAGTCACTGCCTGGATGTCCCTGTGGAAAGCCTGCAGCAGAACTGGGTATGGTCTCACTAAACAGCCTGCCCAGGACAGAGCAGGCAAAAAAGAAAAAAAAAATAAAAAGGAACATCCATGGGACCCAGGTAATAGGTAATTTAGATTTGGAAAGTGCTCAGTGACTCAGCCCTCCTTAAATGTCTGGCTTTCAGAATTGCTACATTCACTATATATTTATCTATACAACCAGGGTTCCTTCTTTGTCTATTTTTAATTTCCAACCCTGAAACTTCATTTGCCTGCATCCACGTTTCTCAATCCCATCTCAGAAAATGCCTCAGGGTATCTATAATTATCTTCACCAGTATGGCAATGTTCTTATTAAAGAACCCCTCACAATATGGAATTTATTTTAATTCACTTCAATTTGTATTATATATTTTAAAACATCCCATAAAAGCCATCTGGCACGTCAGGGCATAGCTAGGAGGTTGCTGAGAAATCATATAAACAATGTCAAGATTTTACCATTCCTCCCAGCCCCAGAATTCCTAACACAAAGAGAAAAGTGCAGATGAACACACATGCTGCCTTTTCAATCTCCCAGGGTCCGGCTGGGTAGCATTTTCTGTGATCAGGCTAGACAGTTGCCACTGGCTCCCAGCACGGTCCTTGCTTTTCTCACATTACAGAGGTCCCATTAGAGGAAATTCCTAGGGCTGAGGAATCTGGGTCCCACAGAGCATACATGATGGAGGGGCAGCGGTCAACCACATCTCAGTATGGATAAGTTCTTGCTGAGGTCAGTCCTACTGGGAGCCGGGGGAGGTGGTTAGGAGAAGACGGGAAGAGGCAGAGTAATAAGGAGATGGAAAACACAGGACTATGAAACACTCGGTCCCAGAAAGGGTGAGGTAACAATACACACAGCGGGAAGAGACCAGAGAAAATAGCTCTGTAGGTCACAGCACACACGGCTTCGGATGAAGTCAGAGTAGAATAAAAACAAAATAAGAGGTTGAGGCCTGAGACACCGGGGACTACATTAACTGACATCTAAGCCCTGCCTTTTAGCATTTTCCCTTTTGCAGATTTAATACTGTTTTTAAACACTAAAACCCTGACCACTTTCACCTCTGGGTGAAGGCCACACCAATCTTGCTTCCTCACTGTGAAGCACCCTCCCCCTGAAATGAGTACTCTGAGTCTCAGCAGTGTACAGCCCTCAGGAACACACACTTCAGAGCTGTTTATTCAACCCAGGCACATGACTTGTTGTGGAGAAGTGTGATGTAGCAGGCCCTATGATCACGCCATAATGCTCCAATGAGTCAGATTTTCCACTGCAGCAAAAAGCAGATACTGTTCACAATGCCCCATATCATTGCTTTCTTCAAAGTCTTCAGATCCCTGCTATCAATCACCTGTTGCCAAAACCAAGTCATACTGTCCCGCAAAGGAGGAAGGAAAGCATCCAAGGCAAGATGTGAGGCTCATTGACACAAAGACATATCAACAGAGATCGTCAGCTGGGCCTGGGGTCAGGGCAAACACCTTCCCAGTAGCACAGCAAAGGTCAGTGGGACAGATACAGGGGAACAGGAGCAAAGGTCCTCTGACCCTGTGGGGACTCGGCTGGCACACGTGGCCCTTTTCCCTCCTACTGGCTTTCCGGGGACAGTTTCCACCCTGACGTAAGATTCTGTGTGCCTTCCTGAACTGGCTTACTCAAAACCAAGAAACCAAGGAGACATGGTGCCACCACCCTGAGAGCAAACAGATGGCCCCCGCAGAGGGGAGGGGAGAAGGCATGCCCCTGAGAACCTCACCTGGTCCAGCTTCCAGTGAAACTCTGCAGGGCGAAAGGTATCTGCCTGGTCGAAGTCCTTCCTCAGGAGGAAGACGAGGCGGCAGTTGTGCACGTAGAGGGCATAGTGATGCCGGTTCATTTCTGGAAGGCAGAAATGGGGGAAGGCATGAGAGAATAAGCACTGGGCGGACCCCACAGAAGACCTTCTTCTGAGAAGCTCTCTTGCCTTTAAACCCTGGCCCAACTCCTACTCCATCAGATCTCAGCGAAGGGAGGTCATCTTGGCAAGCTTGTGGTGTGTACTTACAGGGGCTCCCTGACAATCACATCATCTTCTCTGGGCTCCTCCAGCATGGCTGGTTTCTCCTGGAGTTCTGGGATTTGCTTTGCTTTGTCAGTCTTGACACAGTGACCGCAGAACACATCTCTTTTGTCTCCCTAATCTATGCTAAGAGTGCCTGCCTTGCTTTTAGCTGCTAGGAGGAGACAAATTGATTTTCCAGCATTAGATATAACTCTGTGGCTCTTCAAAGCGATGAATAATCCCCCCTCCCCAGGCACAACAATCAATCAATGGAACTTTTCTTCCACTGATATAAAGACTTCCTTACTGCTTAGGAAATCTTTTCTCATGGTTTTAGCCACGACACTTAGAGCCATAAGATACTACCAACTGGCAGTAGAGGAACTGTTCTGTACCAACATGGAGAGATCATATTCTTCTTCTTTTTTCTTTTTCTTTTTTAGTATATTTAAATTAGAAACAATCGTATTGTACATATCAATCCCAGTTCTCTCTCCCTCCCATCCTCCCAAGCCTCCCACCGCATCCCCCATCCCATCCCCCATCCCCTTCCCAGAGAGGGTGAGGCCTTCAATGAGGAATCATCAACATTTATCAAGTCATTTGGGGTAGGGCCCAGGCCCTTCCCCTTGTCTCTAGGCTAAAGGAGTATCCCTCCATGGGAAATGGATTCCCAAAGTCTATTTATGCACCAGGGATACATCCTGGTTCCACTGCCAGAGGCCCCATAGACTGCCCAATTCTCCTAGTGACACCCATGTTCAGACGGCCTTGTTCAGTCCTATGTTGGTTCTCCACTTGCTCAGGTCAGCTGTTTCTGTGGGTTTTCCCAGCATTTGGCTGTAGAACGCAGGGAAACTAACTAGGGTGCATGTGTACTCTAAGTGGGTAAATGAGTACATGGGTCATGTATGGAGATGAACATAGCCTTACATTTAGACTCTTCAGTGGAGGATTGGAGAGATGGCTCAGCACTGGCTGGTCTTCTAGAGGACCCATGTTCAACTCCCAGCACCCTCATGGCAGCTCACAACTACCCGTAATTATAGTTCCAGGGATCCAACACCCCCACACAGACATGAATGTGGACAAAACACCAATGCACATAAAATAAAACCTTAAAAAAAAAAGACTTAGGTGGAACTGTATCTTTGATGATAATAAGAGTCATCTAGCTTCTTGGTGTTTCCTTATCTGAATTAGGGTAGGGACAGTGGACTAGCTTCCTGTATATCCTGTATAAACCTTGCTATGAAGTCAATACTGGCCTCATTTCTAGAGATGAGCCAACACAGGAACTGGTTCAAGATGCCTGTCCAAGGTCAACAGAGAGGGCCATTCTCCTGGCCACATGGCCTCAGCTGAGAATTGACAGGGAGGACTTGGTCCAGGCCAGTGGTTAGTTCTTTCCTAAGCAGTTTTGGGAGAGTTGACAGAGGAATGTGAACTTGAGGGATACCTTCTTTCCTTGAGAGAAGTTCATTATAAAACCAGAGGTCTGTAGGAGCTGCAGCCTCATCTGCTAACCTGAAACTGGTACACGTGTAGCAGATAAGGATCTGAGAAAACGCAGAGAAGAGGGACTTGGACCTTGATCACACTTTACCTATAAGATGCTATGAAGCCATCAAAGATCTGGGGTTTTCAGGCACAGGAATTCTACATATTCTGCATTGATTTGATTTTAAAGTTATCTGATAGCATTTGATCTGAACTCTGCAAAGACAGCATCTTAATTGCCACAATGAGGAAATGTATGTAAACCATCTGCTTGGAACAGATGCTCAGTGGCTGCTGGTTATTACAAAGGCCATTGCTGCGCTTTGGGACTACAGCAGCGCAGACATCCATGTCAGATGCTGTTTCTACCCAAGCATCAGTATTCTCTAGAACCCAACCCAAAATTGGCAGGAGGGAGGATGGGTAGTTGCTACATGTGCTCAGTGATTGGGGGAGTGAATCACTCAGCCTCTGGGTTGGCAAAACCCCTCTGGCTTGGTTATGGGTAGTCTACTAAACACTTCTTGTCCCTTCATGAATGTATAACTGATTTTCTGTGTTCTTGTTAAGAACAATTAGGAAAAGGAGGGAAGTAAGGTTAGCTTTATTTGGAATCAAAGAAGTGGACCAGGAAGATAGGAAAAACAGATCTCCTCTGCTAGAGCATCTTTCAGTATCTTCAGTATCTTTCTCCTTCCTTCTGCCTCACGTCTGCAGACTCCTGGATCAACACACAGGCTAGGGAACATCTCCCAGTCGGCCAACAGGCAGCAGAGGGTGGGGAGGTTCCCACTTCTTACAGTTGCAATCTTTTTGAGCAGTTTTCTAGTCACTCCAGGGCTGTAGGCACACCCTTGTGTTCCCAAAGGATGGAGGGCCACTGTAGTACTCCTTACTGGGCTGACACTGTGCCAGTGTAGGTCAGGTTGGCCCCTGTGTCTTAGGATTCCCAGCAGGAAATGCCAAGCACTGTGGATAGTCACATTTTCACTGTTTCCAGCTGAACTCAAGGTGAGCAGGGTGATGTCACCCCAGCAGGAAGAGATCCCAGCTGCAGTGGCAGATGTGTGGGTATGAAGGCCTTATGAGAGACCAGGTAGGAGCTAGTTGGGGGGCAGGTAATGAGCGGTAACAGGCAAAAGCATCACTCACATAAATGAATGCGGAGACAAAGGCCAGCAAAGGCCCAAACATCCCTTGTGTCAGACTGCTATGTGTGCACCTAACCCTGATTCCTTTGCAATCCGCTCTATGGTTAATTACATTCCACAGCCTCTCTATGTCTGCCTGAGGGCCCGGTGACCAAGTTCTGGAAAGCAGAAGGTAATGATCAGAGGCAAAACATACAGCCTGCTGTCTATGTCAATAAAACCCTCTTACACTCAACACTATTCTTCCTCTTTGATGCTAAGCGTAGCCAGAGAAAACAATGCAAGGATTCTTGTCTCAGACTACCTGAACCAAGCAGAGATTTGCCCTCCATACCCACCACTGGGCAGATGAATGAGGGAAACCATGAGAGGGGAGTGGTGGCTGCTGAGAGCTCTATTGGTAGAAATGGCAAAGGTGGCTTTCCTTCCCCTCTCTCTTCTTTCCATACAGTTAGCCTTTGCTGACTAACCAATCCTGTTACCCAACTATTTATAGATGACTTTATAAGGGATCAGCATTAGTAAGTTTTGTTTAGTTCACTAAACAGAGAGCAATATGATGTTCACAAAGGCCAATTTCATAATTTTCTCTATATTTATATTCTTTGACTTAGCAATCCAGCTTCCAGTCAGGAAACAATCAGACATGTGTGAAAGTTATCTTCTAGAATGCTCACTACAGCACTGTTTTATTTGCCTTTAAAAAGAGACACTCTAAGAGGCTGACAAAAGAAGTCATTAAATAAAGTATGATAAATCCACAAGGCAGAGTTTTAAACTGGCATGCAGTTTAGATTTTAAAGACTATTTTATCTGTCAGGCACGGTGGTGCATGCCTGCACTCCTAGCAATTGGGATGTAGACACAGGAGGCTCAAAAGTTCAAGGCCACTGTGGGAAACATGAGATTTTTGTCACATACACGCCTCCTAAAGAATACTTTACTACATGGAGATACGACCTGGGTATCATATATGAAACAATAATCCCACATGTACTATGAAAATAAATTGAAATGGGAAGAACATTCTACTTATTCATAGAGATAAAAGTAACACTTTAAGGAAATAGAATGTTATCAGATAATATTGCTTCTAAGTGTTTGGATTTTTAGGTGGTTTGTATATTTTGATTCTTTCCTGTGCTTTCTCCATTTCTGCTGCAATGTGTATCGCCTTTCCACTGGAAAAACTTTCTGATAGAAAATAAAAGTCCTAATCAGGCCTTGATTAAATCTCAATATTTTGTAGCTAAGTTATACTGAAACCTTTCCACCTTCTCTGTAACAACCTTTCTTTTAGACTTGTGTTTATGGTGTGTGTGTGTGTGTGTGTGTGTGTGTGTGTGTGTGTGTGTGTGTGTGCATATGTGTATATATAAATGAGTACAACTTGTACTCAGGTCAGGACACAATTTGAAAGAATTGGTTCTCTCTTTCCAAGTTGTGTGTTGCAGGCATCAAACTCCGGGTTGTCAGACTTGGAGGCAAGTGCCTTTACCCCTGAGACCATCTCTCCAGCCCTCTGTGCTAGCTGTATGGTGTCACTTTCTGCAATGGCAGAGTTGAGACACAGCCCTTGCAGAACTGAGGTGCTGAGCCTCCTGCTGGTGAGCCACTGTAATAAGGAGGCATCATTATAGACTGTAACCACAGCAGCCCAGTAGAGTTCCCCTGATGTGTTGACTCATGGACCTAGGTGGGGCCCTGACACCCACACTTTTTATAATGACTTGCTGGTTTATTCTAACAAGAGCCTGTGGTGCCTCATTTGTAAGAGTCTGGCTCTAATATGTACAGTAAGAGATCCTAGACACACATAGACTGCTCTAGACAGTTAGTGGTGCTGTCCTGGCCCATTATGCTAATTCTCCTGTTACACTTGCTCTTGCATAGGCTTCTGTGTTTCCTGGAGTGCTCAACACACATTCAAGAAAGAATCATATCCATGGCTGCTAAGTCTTGATTGGTTTCCTCACATCTGCACCATCCTAAGATGTGGCCTCAGTGTGACTCTGACCCCAGAGCCATTATTTCCAGAGCAGCCACCAGGTGTTACTAGGACCAAATCACCAAGGCCAGCCCCAAGATCAGTGTCACCTTACGCAGGCAATGACATCCATCCTGCATGAAGGTCTCAGAGAAAATCTATTGCTGGTGCTGACTTTTCCTACATAGACTGGACTGATGTATCTGTCTAGAAGAAACACAATAGCATAGACCACAGGGTCACCTGGGATGGAAAACGTGGAGGTCCTTGTCGTTGCGTGAAATGGAATAACCCCAGAAACAGTAATGATGGTGCCAGTGATACCACATAAACTAATGGTCCCCTGCTTCTGCATCTGATTTAAATGATTTTATATTTTTTTCATACTTATTTCCCCCACTTGGCATATGGGGAAACTGAACTTAATAACAACTAGTTGAGCTGGGGATCTGGGCTGTCTGACAGCATGTACTGTTCTGTCAGTTACCCTCTGCACTGCCTTACAGTTATAAACATGAAGTATTTATATAAATAAATACACAAAATACTTGAGGATTTTAACAAAAGTTACATTTGAAATGGGAGACAGGAATCATAATAAAGGCAGAGTGGTAAGTTTGGCAAAAGCTCTCAAGACAGGTATGTGAGTGTATATGCAGCATGTGAGTGTGTATCCGGCATGTGCGTGTGTGAGTGTGTGTGGCGTGTGCATGTGTATGTGGCGCATGTGTGTGTATGTGGCATGAATTCAAATTGGCCGCATAACAGCTCTCTAGATCCTGATATCTTACAGGATCTTTCAAATTACTACCAGTGAACAGGTAGATGGAAGGAGTTTTTCTACCTCTCTGCTAAACTATCTCCCCCTAAACTTGTTTCTGTTCTCTTCCCACCACGCTAAAACTCTCCTGCCCACAGCAGCTGCAGCCTGTCTCAGGGCAGTGGGCTGGGCTGAGGCAGCATCTGCTCAAGTTTTTCATTCTTCCCACGAATGAGGTTTTTGGATTTTGTGCCCTAGCACCACTCATGCTGACTGGTGCATTCGTTTCTCAGACCCACGAGGGGTTTCTCGGGTTTTATACCCTAGCACTGCCCTTAGACTGGTACATATATTGCTCAGGCCTACAGTGGTCTTTTTGGATGTAGAACCCCTTGGATTCCGGTTTCCTGTTAGTTTCACAACTCCTTCTGCCTCACTCGTGGAGAGAAAAAAGCCAACAAAATTACATCTCAAAACTTTATGATTTCTGCCAGCTGTTGGGGATATGTTCATGGCAGCCACCGTCCTGACCACCTGGCCTAGCCTCACCCCCCATGGTTCTTCCCTCTGCTACACCAGCCACCTAGGCAGAGGCAGTCTAGCCAGCTTCTGCCACCAGCAGAACCTGTAATTCATTTACCTTTTGCCTTTTATTCTTTGTCTCTAATTTCTTTTTCACTATGTTGCATATAGCTTCACACTCTGGTCCATCTCATTTTTACCCAGTCCTGTTTAATATATCTGTACATTTGATTTAAATTTAACTTTATGTAAATGTAAGCTAACTTCATACAACTTAAATACAACTGTACTAAGTCTCAAATATTTCTAAATTGTTATGTGCCTTTTAATGGTGGTAAACATTTAAGGTTATAAATGTCTATTTCAAACTAACAAAATATTTATGCTACCCAGTCTTTCCTGTAAGCTGTTTATAAAACTCAAAGGGAGTTTTTCTCTACCTCTTTGTCCTCTACAGGTATAAGTCTAACCTACTAAGTTCAAACTAGTTACAGTCAGGCTGCAGGGTCTGAGTAAAACATCCCTCTACAGCCTCTCAGCTTGGATCCAGTTTTCCAAACAGATTAATTAATTACAGGGATAAAGCCTTACCTAGCCACCTATGTGCTTAAGGCAAATAACTAAAGACATATTTTGTATACTAAGGTATGCTAAACAGTCAGACAGCCCTCAAATGCTCAAAGATCTAGAGAATATGGCATTTAAAATGTTTCATTAAAAAGCTTTTATAACAGAGAGACAGGCCAGCTGCTGGCACCACCCATTTCCTCCAAGAAGACTGATGGACACTGAAGAAGCATCACCCACAAAAGTGGCAACGCTAGCCACTGAGCAATCCTGCCTTTCATCTCAACTGCTGCAAAAGGCTCTAAGGACCATGGAAAAGAGGGCAGTGGAATCGACTTTCTCCACATTGCTTGGGCCAACGGTAGGTAAGTCTTCCAAAAGCTCCTAATCCACAGGTCTCGTGCCATCAGCAGAAGGCAGACGTCCTTAAAGCCTCTGACTTCAACAACTGTGGAGGACCTGGGATGGCTGTCCATTCTGCCAGCTAGTAAGTCTCTGTTACTCTCTAATCATTCAGGTAAAATTTTATCCTTCTCAAGAACTCTGATGCTTTTGACGACTGGTAGCTTTGTCAGCTTAAAGCAGCAGCCAAGGCTCCAATTGTTACAAAACAGATTTCAAAAATGGGTATTTTAAGGTTGCTACTGTTTATAGTATTTAATCAATAAAGTTTTAACAGTATTAAACACCATACTATGCCACTATATGATCATAACTGTAACTATAACCTTACAATTAAGGTGCTTTTCATTGTGCTAAAAATCTGCCAGTTGTATGTGTTACTTCTTTCAGCCAAATCATTTCTAACATGAGTATGCTGCTAGTGTGTCTTAATATTTATGTTTTCGCAAACTCAAAGGATTCTTTTAAGTTCCAGGGAGCTGAATTGGATCCATTTACAGGTCAGATTCACTCCAAATAATTATTACTCAACTTTTTCCTGGCCTTGGGACTTCCTAACCTTGTCCTGGGTCCCTCTTGGGAGCCCCTCCCCCACCTCACACTTATCCCATTAAGTACTAAGACCTAAGAGACAAAAACTTAACCTGTCCTCTGCTCTGCTAACATCTTGCTAGGTCTCAAAGAGATGCCAGAGCCCCATACTGTCAGAACTGTGATGAAACAACCAGCTACCAGGACATGGCAGCACCCCAGTCTTCACGGATCCCCCAAAGACTATCTACGCCCCAAGTCAGCAGGAAGTAGTCTCAAGAACTCAACGTCCTTATTCCCTAACCTGCCACACCCAACCCCCACCACCTTTTTAATAACAACAAGAGGTGGGAATGTTAGGAACTAGCAGCCAGCTGACCCCTGCTGAGGCTCATGGTTGTCTTTGCTAGTCAGCCTTACCTGGTGGCTCAAGCTTTACCTGGCTTCCAGAGGACTCAGTTAAGCAAGTTTTTAAGCAAGAGCTCCAAGCATGCCTCCTTCTCTTGCTCCCTCTCTAGCTCTCTCTTGCTCTCTCTCTCTGCCCTCCCCCTGCTCTCTCTCTCTCTCTCTCTCTCTCTCTCTCTCTCTCTCTCTCTCTCTCTCTCTCTCTCCTGCTTTCGGTTGGCCACCAGCTACCCCCTCTTTCTCTTCCTTCTCTCAATAAACTCCACGTGGGCGCTGAGTCTCATGTTTGTGTTTTATAGGCATTAGTTGCATCAAAAGAACAACATATGTGGCATGTGTGTGTATGTGGTGCATGTGTGTGTATGTGGCATGTGCGTGTGTATGTGGCATGTGTGTGTATGTGGCACGTGCATGTGTATGTGGCATGTGTGTGTATGTGGCACGTGCATGTGTATGTGGCATGTGTGTGTATGTGGCACGTGCATGTGTATGTGGCATGTACATGTGTATGTGGTGTATGCATGTGTATGTGGTGCACGTGTGCACACAGAGGCACAGCAGCACATGAATAGAATGTGGACTTAATCTGACATTCCAGTTCTGCTGTTTATTGGCTGTGTAACTACTTGGGACAAGATACATGACCTCTCTCTCAGTGAATGTTTCCTTATCCTTAAGATGGGAAACTCAATAAGGCATTCATAAAATTTTCTTGTAAAGGTTCAGAAAAGGAATAGTTGACACCAATCATATATTCTAAGTGCCCGACACTGCTCTGAGCTCTTCACATATATTTAACACACTTAAGTCAGCAATAGCTCACGAGGAAGATGATTCTATAACAGTGCCACCCATCTAAAAGTGATGGGGCATGGTGAGGTCCCAGAGCTACCTTGTGTAGGCCTAGCATGAGAGATACATGCAGAACCTGTTAGCTAGCACTGTCCCTTTTCAAACTACTGCTTTAAGTTGACAGTATCATTTTTTTAAAAAGGGGGTTTTGGAAAATACTTATATGATATAGTAAATGTACCGTTTCTTTGTTGTCAAAAGAATAAAGAAGCCTCCCTCCTCACCTGAACCCAATGTATCCCTGTATCCCTAAGGTACTTCCATAGACATGGGAGTTCTGAGGAGCGCAGTTTGAAGATCATGGATTTCAACTTCTGCATTCTCTCTGTTTGCAGCTTTTCCACTCTTTCCTAACTCTGCTTTACCAGGACCCTAGAAAATAGGCAGCTGGAAAAGCAGGGAGCAGACTACATCCCCAAGCTCCCAATGCACTTCTATTTTAGCACAGCCTTCAGTTACGTCTACCCAGCCATGGGGACAGAGTGGGTTGGAGACTCACCGGTTTTATCCGAGTTGCAAAGGATGGTTTCCTTCTCAGCTCTGACACCGGGGCTGGGACCATGTTTCATCCACATAGTGATGGTGAACTGGTCTGTCAGGTTCTTGGGCACAATTCCATCAGGGATCTTGGCACCCTGCCTGCCATCAAACTTGAAGATCATCTCACTGCTGTCCACCAGCAGTCCTGCAGTCCAGTTGGTAGCCGCACTAGGGGATGGCAAGAGGTCAATGATGCCCGAGGATGCTCCTGCAAGGGGAAGAGATGAAAGCACAGTGGGTTTCCCTTGGGGCGGGAGGTGTTCTTACCTTTTCATTTGTGCTTCCGTGTTAGAATGCACTTAGTGTACTTACTGAAGTCTGTGCCTATTCCTGACCTGGGTGGCTCAGAAAAGAGCCCAGTATCATTCCAGCCTCTGAACTGCTTCTGGTCTGCTTGGCCATACATTGGTAACTTGCAGAGAAAAGCGATACATATGTCCAGGCAGGTACAATCAACTACTGAGTTCTCACCTCGAGAGAAGGTAGCAAGCCACTTTGTACACACTATGTTTTTCTATAACAATTTGTTGAAGCCAAATACTGCAGCACTTGAAAAAGGGGGCCCTGAGGTCTGCAATACTTCAGCACTTGAATTTGACACCTGGCAGCTTGACTTGGCACTTTGTGACTGGGAACATGTCCCTTAATCTCTTTGACTATATTCCCTTCCTTGGTGTATGCAGGGCCTGAATGGGATTATGCATTCAAGCTTGGAGCTATATGTTAATATATGATAAGTGCTCATTCAGTGTGAGCTACAATTTTATCATTATCATTACTGTGATTTTTGCTAGGCTAGAACAGGCATGGCAATACAGGACCTACCACAGGCCAGCTCTGTGGAAGGTTGGGGAGAAAGGACAGCTGGTTGTTCTTCTGGGAGAACCCTTGGGACCTGAAGAAGGGCTCAGTTGCTCAGGTAATATGGGGGGGGGGTTGGGAACTTCCTACATATTTTCTCCAAGTATGAAGAATGGGGAAGACAGGCTTTGCCAGGGCTGTTCATGGGGCTGTCTCCTGGTAGGGCACTCAGCAGTCATTGAAATGTTGTGTTTATTGGTGGTCCAAAGGTGAGAGCAGCTGCCTCCCACTATACATGCTGATGGATGGTGGGAAGTATGCACTATCTGATGTTTGACGGGACAGTGGCCTTTTGACTTCTACAGAGCACAACTGTCATATCACCCAGGGTTTGGGTTTCAAGGTCAGCTGCCATGAAAAGACTCCTACAGTGGAAACTCCTCAGGAAGGAGCCACATTGGAAACTGATAGATGTTTTTATAATGTTCATTCTAGCCAGACATCCTTTTGGCTTTGGAATGGAGCAGAAGACTGTACATAGTACATAGGAAAAATATGATTCTTTTGAGCACAAATGCTCTGTTTAGCACAAGAAGTTCATTCTGAAAGGGCCTCTAGAAAGGCAATCCTTGAGAAGGTGGAGGATGCAGGCTCTCCATCCATGATTCTCTGTGGGAAGCATGAGCAGAGTTGATGGCTTGATTCACGGGCATTTTCTAAGGTTGTTGAGTGTTAACTGCACTGACACATAGTAGGTATTTAGTACCTATTTACAATTGCTCTTTCTCTTTTCCAGCATCCCCTTAGGATTCCTTGGTAGAGCCTGGGGAGATGACTTAATCAGCAAAGGGCATGCCTCACTAGCATGAAGTTAGAATCTCTACAACTCACATAAAAATATAGGCACAGTGTGTGAGTGAGTGTGTGTGTGTGTGTGTGTGTGTGTGTGTGTGTGTGTGTGTAAGCCCAGGACTAGGAGGGAGTGGGTAGAGACATACAGAACCTGGAGGCTCATAGACTAGAGCCATCCTAGCCAAAGCAATAAGCTTCAGTTCAGTGAGAGATCTTGACTCAAAAATTAGGAGGAGAGTGACAGAGGAGAGATACCTAATGCTTACTTTTGGCTTACACACACACACACACACACACACACACACACACACACACACACACCTATGTGCTCATGTATGTACATCTACTCTAATGAATATATACATCATACATACACATAACACAGCATACACACAGTACAACAATACATAGCAGAAATAAGGAAGGAAGGAAGGAAGGAAGGAAGGAAGGAAGGAAGGAAGGAAGGAAGGAAGGAAGGAAGGAAGGAAGACTGGCAGGCAGGCGCTGGCAATTCACCCAGTGTTCAGATAACCATCCTGCCTCTTGTCCATGCCTTAGCCCCTTATCCTACCTACTTATTCTTGCCTTACAGTGCTCCCTGTGGCATATACTGCTTTACCTGAAAAAAAGAAGCTCACATTATCATTTTGCCTTCCTTGGTCAGTATTCTCAATATATATTGGTGAAAAGGACACCAGTCATGGTGGTAGCAGAGAGGGATCAGTGGGCGGTTTTGGAATGACAGATTTGTGGCACACTGAAAAGTTCATTTTCCCATCACCCACAGAATCGCATCTCAGCATCCTCTTTTATTGATAATGGCACTAGATCTGATGCTGGACTTGTGCAGCATGATGACAACCAGTGACTCAGGCACATACTATTTGTTCTTGAAAGCTGAGGTGGCTGTGGAGATGCAGGCTGATCATTTAGAACCCCAGAAAAGTCACGTACAGTGTCTTGGGGTGGGGTGCTGTTCTGCCATCAATGGAGCATCCAGGGTGGCACATAGGGGTCCCAGGTTGATGCTTGGCAGGGCTGGAAACTATCATATGAGGATCGCTCTATCAGTTAACAATTTTTCTATTCTGTAGAATTCACACAGCACTTCATAATTTAGACTAGTGAAGCAATTGAGTGAAAAATAATTTCCAAAAACATTTGGACAGAAGTACAGAGCAAGGACTGGTGTGACATAGTAGTAGGGGAGGCATGAAAGGTGTTTGGGCAGCAAACTGCTTAAAGAGTAACTTAATTCAGAATGGAGATGTTCTATAGACAGAGATGGAACCCAGAGAACATCATCTATTTATATTTCTACATTATTGTATCCCAAGGAACTTTCTACGGGGCACTGAGTGGCTGCCAGACCAGAATTAGTGAATTACCACATCCATTCCTTTGTTACATCTGTATGACGAACACCACGAGATTCTGGTTGGTAGGTAAGAGGCCCTGGGCTGAGGGAGCCCAGACTTATAATCAGCTATTGAGTGGGCCCATCATCAGGGCTTTCCATTTCCACAGCCTAGGCACCTTCCTGAACCTCCTTAGTGACCTAGAACAAAATTCTATAATTCTTTGTGTACTTAGCAAATGTGGAAACTGAAGGCCAGGGAGGAAATAACTCAATCAGGGTTGCACCACCACATGGCTGGCTAGAGACAGGTGATAAGCAGATGATGTGTGTCTGATACAGGCTAGTGTCCAATGACCAGCCACCTTGGTCCCATGAGATACCCTTTCTCCATCGAGGTGTCTGCTCCTAGAGGGGGACACCGAGACTAGCCAAGCAGAGCTCCAGTGTCTTCCTGTGAGGGGATGGCAGTTCCCCTTCCCTGTCTGCGGTTGTTGCCCGCTGGAGAACATGATGCATTTAACCAGATGGGGAAAACTTCCACTGACTTAACAGACTGAATACAGCTCTTGGTATAATTACACCGAGGAAGATTCATTTCCACTCAAAGTTCTTTCTTCTTCCCTTAGCAGCCCATAGGAAAGCTTTGGGGAAACAAGACATGGCACCGGCAGACGTGGTGTGGTGGTAACTGCATATCCAAGTATGCTTAGGTTGCTCCTTTAGAGTCCTCAGTGACAATTACCAGAGCCACTAAATGCAAAGAAGTCATGTTCTTGTGACACACTGCAGCTGTAGCTTCAGTGCTAGGGGCTTCAAACCAGTAGTAAACTCTGATTCCAACTCCCTGGGCTCTACCAGGGTGTAGATGCTGCTATGGGCAGCAAATAGAGACAAAGCAGAATGGGAGGGATTTATGGGCACTGGATGATGTAGGAGGTCAAATGGAACATGGAAAGGTGGTCACTCAGGTCTGTATTCTGCTGAGCACAGCCCAAATGTGGATAGCCAGTGCCCTCTAGCATTCCAAGGTGGGGCTGTGGCAAGAGTGATATGCATGGAGTGTTCAGAGTCCATTGTAGACACAGGAGAGGGTGAAGATAAGTGGGAGGATCCTGGGAGAGGAACTGTCTCATCTAAGGTCAAGGCTCATTCTATAGTATTCCCAGAAAGACATATGGTGAGTGATAAGCAGATCACTCCATGTCATCTCAATAATTGTGTATTCACTATTGTGTATTCGCTAAGCCATGTCTGGTACTACCATGAGGAAGAGTTTTTTTTGGCAGAACCCAGGAAGGCCCTCTTCAAGTGCCTGGTGTATCATTGGGTCTGGGTGATAGAAGAATGTATGTGTGTATGATATGTTTCTTGACCTATAATATCAACTCAGCCACATGTCCAGAGAAATGAGGATGCAAGAGACATATATCAGGAAAGAAGTATTAAGTTATAGTCTACAATTTACCTTGAATCTTTCCCATCTTTCTGGGGATAAATGGTGTTCAAGATAGAGGCTACTCCATTAGCTGAGATTTTGCCCAATCCAAGGAGAACATATGATAGGAATGATAAACCTCTGTTATTTCAAGCCAATGAGATTGTGAGGCCATTAGGTACTGTAGGATAACCTGGCTGACCATCCTTACTGATCTCACAGAAGGAAATGATATAGGTAACTATGGCTTCCATTTTTCCATCTACACGCCGGAGGTCTGAAGGAAGGCCTTGAGAATAGAAACTTGAATTTATACCTGAAACAAGCTGGGCATTGGCTGGCAGGTAGGTAGCCAGACTCCTGGGGTGGAGCCATGGACATCTACCTAGTTAGGGCATCGGAGCCTCTGATGGTGTTTCTTTGGACAGGCTCTGCTAAACTGCAAGCTGTCATAGAGAACCATGAACTCTCATACTTCTTCAACATTGTACTGCAACACCTTTTACCATGTCCTGTCTTCCCAGAAAACCAAACTATTAGGTTGTTTAATGTTATAGATGGTTCTATATTATTTCAAGAATGACATAGCATTTAGACAAGCAAAACATTTGTTGAAGTAATCCATGTATGAATCCCCTGGCTCTCCAGTGTACAAACCTAGAGAACATAGGGTTGTCTTCCCACCCTGCTCTAGTTTGGGGAGCTTCTTGATTTTAATAGCATGCTCATACACTGTGGCTTTTCCTTCAACAAAACCTGCCCTGGGAACTCCTGACTTACAAACAAAACTGTTGTCCTTGGCATTGTGCTCAAGGAAGTAGTGGCCAGCTGCCAGGAGCCCCTGATCCTCTGAGGAACAGCCTGGCCTCTGTGTTACAAAGGGCATATGCACCACAACGTGTTTTCCTATTGCATATAATATGTACTGACATGGGGTCAAGGAAGGGAACCTTTTCTTGGGCCATTGTTAATGTCAAATTTGATTTGGCTGAGAGCTGCTTCTTGCATGTCAACCTCAATACAATGCTGTGACATTTCACATCTGGAAAACCTGGTCCTAAGACAGGACCTTCTGAGTTCCTGAAGTTGGAGAAGGCTGTGACCACCTCTTCTAAGATGCCTGGCTTCATAGGGAGCCTGGAAGGTGAGCTCAGCCTAGGCTGTTTCTGGTCTATGATCTGGAGGAAATATAGGTACAGGGAACTCGACCAAATTGTTCCAAAGCAAAATGGGAGTGCCTTCATGTTTAAATCTCAAGAAGCAAATATCTGCCATACAGTGTTTCTCCAGGTCCGTCTCAAATGCTGTCACATTTTCTTAGTGCCTTTTGATACCAGCAAACATCAGCTACTGCCCTCTTTTTCCTTAGTCAGGATCACTCACTGCACCTCTTGGGAAGTAGTCTGGCTGGGTCACTGTCCAACCACATTAGTACAGAGGATGCTGCAGAGCCCCAGCTCCCACAGAGGCAACACAGGACTTCTCCTAACTGGGTAAGGGTGCAGGTGACATGTGACTGAATGGGAGAGCTTGGGAGAGAAAAGCAAAGACTCGGAGATGAGCAGAAACAAGAAGGGACAAAATGGGAGGCAGGATATCAGCTTAAAACAAGTCACAGTATTGGGACTGCAAGGTGGAGGCAGCGCCTCAGGGGAGGAGGTTGGAATGTGCGGTTCCACAGGTGACTGCCAGTGCTGTCCTAGAAATGTACCCTTGCTACTGGGCTCCTGGTTTAGGTTGTGGCTCCTGTCACCCAACTAGACACTGATGCTGGTACCTTATATCCCTCCTGTCTTCCTTTCAACAGCTAACCACTTGTTAAATCTTGCTGATTTTGCCTCTTAACTGTCCTAAATTCATGCCTACGGCCACTCGCCTGGTTCAGAACTCATTATCTGTTGTTTAGATTATGGTAATAACATCCTAATTGCTCTCCCTGTTTCTCTCCAAAGTCAATACAGATTTGGAGGATGAAAAATGCATGAATACTGAGGTGTCACAGCAGCTCTTTAGATGAGAAACCCAGCAAGAAACCTTCCTGCCATCTACTGAAAATGCAGATGTCTGTCAATAGGATCCACAATGCCCACAAGAGTCAGACAGCATCACGCAGCCTGTGTGTTGTGTGTGACCCAGCCCCTGCCTTTTTCTTAGGTCCCAGAGGGTCTGACTTCTGATGTTCTACCCTGTGCTTCAGCCCTGTTTTGCTGTGTTCTCCTCCAAGCCAATCAGAAATAATGATTCTAACCTGAGAAAAGACTCATCTGGCCACCATGGTTACTGGGCAGGGATCCCATAAGAATGATAGGCAGTCTTCTGGGGAGGTGACCAGAGAGAAACAGCCTTCCAGGACCAGATGAAGCACACCTGGGGGGACTGTCCCCAGTTGGGTTAGCCTAAGAGGCTGGCAGGCCGTATGGAGTGAGATGACGGCACACCACATGCAATTTTGTTCTGCTATTTCTTTGCTCAAAATGCTCTATCTCCCATCTTTTCCCAGCAACATTCAAAATCAAGTCACAGTGTATGCCCTTGGGCCCTCTGATCTTTAACAAGCCGATTCATCGTTTCCTTCTTACCCAAAGGAGTTTGGGAAATGAGTATAACCCGAGGTGGCCATATGGGGTCAAGGTCACTGACACCACAGGTACATGGAGAATGTAAAGGGATATTCATTCCAAGTAAGATGTCACATTGTATGGCTTCTGTGAACTAAGTAGAGGAAAGGGCAGGATTTGAAGCATTGTGTGAGCATTGCAAATGCCTACATATCCACTTTTGAAATAGCTGTTTGAAACACTATTTCTCCCAATCTACTGAATTGTTCGGAGGGGCAGGCAGCCTCATACACCTTCCCTGAAAGCCTGGTGGTATGATAAGTAGAATGTGCTAAAATTTTCACTTGATTCTTTGGGCAAGAACAAACAATGAGAAATATTTCCCAAAGATAGTGGTGGAGTCCCTCATGGAGGTGACAAATAAACTACATGGAGGGACCTCACTTTCCTCTTGAAGAGGTGTGGCTACTGTCAAATGCGGAAAGCCCACTGTGGAAAGGAGTCTTATCCTCAGCTCCCACAGTGAGACTGGAGAGCCACAAGTGAGTCCCTGGGTATTCCAGTCAAGAACAAGTGAGAAGTACTGTATGTCCAAGTGAGATGAAGATCTCCATCAACCTCACAGAAGTCAGCCTCTCTTGCACAGATTCACTGGAGAGACATTGTTAGCTACAGGGACCAAGCTGGCTGTGATAAATTCTTGACTAATGACCCCACCATTCAGATACACCTCTTTCAAATCCTCTCCCTGATACTTTCTATGCAAACTTCAATACTTTTCATACTTTGAGTCTTCAAGTTTCCATCTTTAAAGCTGAGTAAATATAGTCTCACAGTAAATATGTGAAAACCAGATGAAGAATCATATACTGAGTCACAGGATGTACACCATGGGCATTCAGCAATCACGGGATGTACACCATGTACATCAATAGTCACAGGATGTACACCATGGGCATTCAATAAAGGCAGGTTTCTTCTAAGCCATCCTCCATGGCTTCCTCTTGCCAGCCCATTTCCTCTCAGTAATTCCTGTCCTTTCTCCTTTCTTGCAGCTCATTCTTCCTCTCCATTAACAACCCCTTGCCTGTCTCCCTTTTACCCAAAGCTGCTTTGCTATGGACAGCCGGGCTCAGCTCCACAGGCCTGTAGCCTGAGCAGGTGTTTAGCCTCAGACACTTAGTTGAGTGTTTTGCTTTTCCTATATTAAAATCCTTAATCATTTCATTTGCATCAGGCCTTGGACTTATGCAGTTGCTTGGTGGAGATGAGTCAGATGTTTTTGCAGGCTCCTGGCACCACTCTTTATAATGATCCTAGGCAGGCAGCTCTCCAAAGCCTGGCATGGCAGAAGGACCTTGAGTGTCATTTGGCTCTGTGACAGAACTTTTAACTGAATTTTGCCATTTAATCCCTGTCTTACTGGTGAAGAGTGGAAGCGTCTGTCATGGCACTTGCCTAAAGCCACACACATACTCTGAATCAGTTGAGTTTGAGGCCAAAACTGAGTTTTCTGACCCTTCTGTCCTAAGCAAATATGCATCCAGGAGGGCTGAGGCAGGTGGGGAAGGCGGATCCCCCCCCAATAATTAGATAAACTTCATTTGCATCTATCACTTGAAAGTTATTAATTGAACACATTCTCAAAAGAAAAGCCTACCACATAATTTCTGAAGGGATTTCTCAGAGTAAGTCTCACGATCACAGCCCTTGCCGATGTAATTAGTCTGCAGCTCGGCGGTGACCTGGAGAGAGGACACAGCGCCATCGCACGTCTCCAGGTGGATGCTGGGGAACAAGGGCATACTTCCTGAGCCAGGCTGGTATTCAATCCTTTTGGTCCAGTCTGAATAAACAAGAAGATTAAATCAGTTACAGTCAGTCCTGCTAGGCCATTTGTTTTGAAAAGATGAATTCGTTCCAATAAATCATTTGTTTCAACAAATAGATTAGCCAACAGTCTGAGGATAATGGAAATTTTACATTTGCTGGATTAAAGATCCCACCCCGCCCTAAGAAAATATCAGGTGAACCAGAAGGCTGTACTCAGTTGTGCGGAGGCACAGAAGACTATACACCTTGGCCATCTACTGGCTTCTCAGTTCACTGTGTATTGTAGGGAAAACAGAGTGAGGCACAGCATTAAAAACCATCAGTGATGCATGGAAAAGGCAGGAAGAGAAGCATTAGCTAGCACATGTGATATAAGTATTACAATGATAGCATCACTTGACCTTGAAGATGCCTGATGGTTGCTGGTAGGAATGAATGGGGGAACACTTGGAGTCTGTGTGTCACTGTGAAATGGTGGGAGGGGAGTCTGAGAGGGATGGAGAGTGGGACCGATGGTGTGTGTGAGCCGATGCCTGTGCTCTCTCCTCTTCCCTTTTATGTGCATTACTGTAGACATTTTAGAGGACTGCATCTTACTCCATCTCCCCCATTGTACACATGATGATTATTAGGAACATATGTGCTTTATTTCAAAATGAAAGGAAGCGTGGTCCTCCAAGGCATACGCGAGGTGACAAAGGAGAGCAGAAGGTTTCTCAAACACTCAAAACTGTGACTCAGATCTCGATGATCACCCTGCCACTGCTTTTCAGTGGGAAAATAATTGTGAGGTGATAAAGCATTGAAGAGAAGCACAAGCCACAATCAAAATGGCAGCACAGAAGAACAGAGTAATCAAAGAGAATAAACACTGAGTGGGTCCAGGGGGGAATTGATTGATTCATAATAGCGGCAATCGAAAGGAAGAGCCACTGATTCCAGACAAAGCAAGCTCCCAGAAACTAATAATGCATTGTCCCTGATGACAGACAGAACTCTATACTGCAAGGATACCTCTGAGAAGCTGTGTAACCACTCTCAACCATACTTAGATTCAGAAGAATGGGTGGAGTCGGCAAAGGATGTAAACTATGGGTGTAATGAGCTGACAAGCCCCAAGTGTTTGTCATATAGAACATCATTATATGATATCCTCTTGCCAAATAGAAATGGAAATCTTTGAAATGCCTGATGTCACCTGCATTTGTGAGACTTTATGTCAGTGTGCAGCCACCAGGTACATGGGCCCCTAGTGCGACACTGGCATCCATCAAAGAGATACATGGAGAAATCCAGCCTTAGGGACCATTCAGGTGGCTTCCTTTACTGATGAGCCATTTGTTTGGTGTTTCCACATGCCACAACATGCCACACATGGATGCAACGTGGAAAAAGTCAGGAATGAAAGAGAGAGTAGGTGATGAATAAGGCTGTGCTGGCCTATCAGAAGGGTGACAAAGCACCTTTAGATTGTTCTCATATGAACCTGAGGCCTGAATGCCAAGAACTGATGTGTTCTACTTGGTGTAATGACAGCAAGGATCTTGGTTTGGCTGTGAGGTTCTAAGGACTTCCAAGCTGCAGGTACCTCATCAGCATATCAGGGACATTAATACAAGTTTTACAGAGCTGGGATGAGGGTCAAGTGTTACAACATATTCCTGCATATAATGGGGTTCTGATTGCAGTTTCCTGGCAAGAAAGGTCTGCTTGTAATAGATCCCTAACATGTTCTAGGTAACCATATAATGCAGGTTTAGCTCTGAGCTGTCGTGTTAATCAGCTGCTTTTGAGAAGCATTATCAAAAGCCACATGATGAGCAAAAGTTGCATACCATGGTTGTGAGGGTCAGCCTCAGGGAACTGACAATGGGAAGATGTCCTGGTGAGTAGTTCCAAATTCAGAAAGGAAAGTATACCAAATCCCAGCCTCCAGGAGCTGAGACTATACCATTCTAACATACCCACCAAGCCATCTGCACCCAACCAAAGTTCTCAATCAATCCCAAGAATAGACAATCGAGCAAAGGAAAGGAAGGCTTTTGTCTGACACCCACAGTATTCTAAGAAGCCATCCACAACTAGCTAGTAATGTGTCCCAGATATAGAACGTTTCATGCCACTGTGTTTGATCATGCTGTTTTTTTCTGCATGGCATCTCCTTCCCTCCTGCCACATCCTTCATGCATCCTTCTGAGATTTCCTGTCTAGGTAGATGTCTCTATCACATTTCCACAGTGCTCACCGCATCATCATGAAGAATTAGGCTCCCAGTTTGGGAGGTAACTAAATCATGTCTCCAGATTCTTGTTAGCTAGCCAAGGAAAGTGCTCCAAATCCCCTCAGGTAGCACACTGAAACTATCCACCTGTGTTTGTCTCCCTCCGTAACTGTGAACTCCTTAAAAGCAGGGTTGTGATGTTTACTTTTGAATTCTCCACAGCTAGCTCCGAGTACAGGAAATATTTGCCAGGAGAAGGCTGGAGACTTCATTGTTGCAATGGCAGTCCATGTTGAGTCCCAGCCAGAATCCAAAAGCTGTGTGTAACTCTCTGTTGCTACCCTGTCCATCCTGTCTTCAGTCCTCCCCACACGAGTACAGAATACATTTGCTTTTCTGCTTTTGGCAAAGCATTTGGCCCATAGTTAACAATGGAGGAATCTGCTTCCTTCCAAACAAGATACAGCATCAAGAAAATGGCCTGCTTTCTTCCCTCCCACCTGGGATCCTCTCAGTGAGTTGCAGATGGTTTTGTGAGGGGGAATTTGGTATGAATCCAACTGCACTGGGTTGAGGGTCTTCAAGTGTAAAAGTCCTGCCCTATATGGACCAGTCACAGAACTGACGCCATTTATCCCATGGGCTTTGAAGCCATCTTCCTGACTTAGATATCTGAATGATTATTTCTGATGAGAAATTCCATCTCAAATATCACAGGGAGAGAGCAAATAGAGCAGAAACTAAATCGTGAAGTAAAGCCGATAGAAGGCCAGTCCAATGGATCTGTTCTCTGGAAACCCCCTTGGTTGGGAGGGCTGGATCCTCTTCTAGCCACTATGGGAAAAGTCAGGTACAAAAGGGCTTTAAAAGTAGCATATTGCCAGTTGCTCTGGTGACCTCACGAGGCTTGTTTTCGAGGGTTATGAGGAACAGGCAAAATTGCCACTATCCAGTAAAGTAAGTCGATGAAGCTTTCTGAGTACAGCGTCCTTGAGAGACTAGGAAGCTCACACAAACATCTCTAACTCTTGAAAAAAGAGGTGAGGAAGGCTTGAGGGAGCCAAAGGAAATCTTCCCCCCTTCCAGAGTCTGAATGGTCTCCATAAATTTGCAGCAACTACTCAGAATTTGGGGAGAGGGAATTAAAAGTAGGGTTACTTCACCATCGGACACAGGGACATTTTCAAAAATACATTGCTGTTATATTACCATGCATTGAATGATAGTGGTCAGTTCATCCACCGCATACTCCTACATCTGCACTTTCATTTAATCCTCCCTGGGACCCAGCCTGGGGATGTTATTGCCGTAATTGCACAAATTATGAAGCTGACGGCTGAAAATTGGTGTGCCTTGCCCAGGGCCACACGACTCATTTGCAGAAGTCCCTGCTAAGCTTAAGAATTCACCAGAACTTAAGACAATTGGCATTTTTTTTTAAACAGATTCATTTTTAAAGACATATTTGCACTGGTTTCTTAAAGGGATAACCCTGTTATCCACAAAGGACCAAGGAGTGTGGTTGGCTTCAGCGTGACTCTGAGACAGTAAATTCACGGCCTGGGGAATAATGATGAGACACACACACACACACACACACACACACACACACACACACACACACACGATAGCAACAGCGGTAGCGCTCCATGGCTTTGTGGACACCCATGGTCAAATATGACTCTGTGAAAATGGCAGCTATTCTCAGTTCTGGCAAATCCCCAGGCTCAGTGGGGGAGATTTTATGAAAGGGTTGCATGACCCTGGGGAAGTCACACCAATTTTCAGCTGTGGCTTCATGAGGCCTGGGGGGCCATGCTCCTCTAGAAGACTAGAGAGGTTTGGACGTGAATCTCAATTTCTCCAAATGCAGACATGTGACCTTAGCAAAGTCACTGTCATCTCACAGCCTCTGTTGCCTCATCTGGAATGATCCCATCTGCTCCTGGGCTGATCATGAACCTCAAAAGAGACAGGGAAGCCTAAGGGCCCAGCCTAGGGACCTTCCCACAATGCCCCTGTAAGACCGTCTCAGTTCTGGGGTCACAAGCTTCCCAAATGTCCTGAACTGTCCCTCCTTATAAACAAAAATCTTGTCAACCTTTAAGGCTCTAGATGCTTGTTTATAAACTGATTCAATTTTTTTTTCCTTAAGTTAACAGAAAGAAGTCGACTGCCTGCTGTTTTAATAACAAGTCCTAAATTACCCTGCCAGTTTTCCTAAGGATGTGAAGAGAGGAATGGCATTGGGATTTAAACTCCTTTCTGTGGATTAAGAATTTGGAAACATGATGATTTTATTAACATTCTTGCTAAATTTCGGGCTCACACATTTTCTTACTAGGAGACTAGTAATCACCTAGTTGAAAAGGAGTGAACCACGTTTCTAGAAAGCACGGCTTTGTGGCTTTTCTACCAAGGCATTCAAGTCATTGTTCCAACCTGGCCTTTGGAATGTCACAGGAGGGTGGAAGGGACAGACAGACTTATCCTAGACAAGCTAGTTGGGCATTTCTGGATGTCTCTAGCTCCTCCCAGCCTCCACTCTCAGCAGCTAAAGGAGCATCTGGTCTCCTGGAAGTCGCTGGGTTCCTGTAAACTGGGAATCGGCTGGATGTTGAGATACTGGGGGTGGGAAGGTGAGAAAGGAGTTCTCTGATAGGTTTGAACAGTAATCTTTCAGTGCTTTCTCTAAGAGAAATTTGGTAACTTGGATTCGGACACCAAAGGTGTCCCTGCTACCAGGAGAAACTACTGTGTTATGGTACCTTGGTATCATGGTACTAAGCAAT